AAAAATGCCTTGATGGGCCCCTAGGCGAGAAGAGAGTGACCCTGTTTACCTGTTCTTTGTTTTGTATATTTATTAATATAAACTCAGACAACTATTTTTTTTACCATGTTGAGGCTAGCTGAATAACTAAAAGTCTATGCCAAAAAAATTCGTAAGTCGATCTAAAACTGATGGGTCCCAGTTTGACAGATTTGTTTTTGCTGGAAATGTTTAAGAAATGATTAAGAATGTTTTGCTGGAAAAGAAGCAAGAATAGATGACAGATAAAATATTTCAGGTAATGAAAAAGCGAAGAAACTTAAAGCTAGAAATGATAACGAATACAAAAAGTTGCATAAGCCTATACTAAAGGGATAAAGAGAGCAAAAGAAGCATTTCTGACGGACAAATGCATGGAAGTTGAAACACTTCAACGCCAACATGACGTTTTCCATATCTTCTTCTAGTTCCATGACCGCTATCGATCGTTGGATATCATGTTGGCTACCATATTCGCTTCGTGACTTTATTGACAGCAGCTCTAAATAACGATGTAGTTGATTTCCATACCATTGCCTTAGATTTTTCAGCCATGATGTTCTTCTTCTACAGGACCACGATTACCTTGGATCTTTCCTGAATGATCAGATGTAAAAGATCATATTTTTCAGGGTGTCTCATAATATGACCGAAGTATTCCAGCTTGCGTTTCTTTATTATATTGACCAGTTGTGTTGTTTGGTTCAGCCGTCCAAGGACCTCCTCATTTCTAACTCTGTCGACCCAGCTTATTTTCAGTAGTCGTCTGTATACCCACATCTCAAAGGATGTCAAGCGTTTAAGCATAGCCTCAGTTAGGGTCCACGCTTCTACTCCATACAGCAGGACAGGAAAGATGTAGCAAGATGTCATACGAAACTCTAAGGTCAATGCGAAGATCATGACTGCAAAGTACGTTTCTCATTTTTACAAAGGCAGCTCGGGCTTGTTCTATTCGGCTTTTAATTTCTGCGGTTGGATCCAGCTCTCATTGATATTACTGCCGAGAATACACGAGTTTCTCTACTCTGTCCAGTGTGGCATCTCCGACTTTATTACCGTCATCATGTATATAATTTTGTTTGCTAACTATCATATATTTAGTTTTTTTAACGTTGAGTTTTAATCCATACTGATCACAAGTCTGTTTTATTTTGTTCATTAGATTTTGAAGGTCTTCTCCGCAATTGGCAAGGACTAAGGTATCGTCGGCATATCTAATATGTTTTCCATATACACAAAAAAATTAAAGAGGTACAGAATACCAGAAAACAACGCAATACATGCATAGTTGTAGACATTAAACGCCAAATTTTGACTACCATTAAAGATAAATTACGAAGATGGAAAGAATATTTGCAAGAATTATTCGAAGATGCAGCACGAAGTCCGACTGAAATAAGCAAATAATAAGTAACTATGGCCATTAAGCGTATTAAAGATGGGAAATCACCAGGACCTGATGAAATTCATGATGAAATTTTAAAGCTATTAGAGGTAAATAGAGACAAATCACAGCTCTTACAAAGCTATTCAACAATATCTACGAGACTGGTTGCTTACCAAAAGACTGGTACTATCAATATTCATTCCACTTACTTAAAAAGCCAACGCTAGACATGTGAAGAAAATAGATTAATTAGTTTGATAAGCCATGTACTTAAGTACTCCTTACTATTATTTACTGACGCATATATACCAAATTAGAAGAACACCTGAGTAAAGTTCAATTTGGATTCAGAGCAGGACTCAGAGCAGAACGAGGAAAGCACTTTTCAGTTTGCAAGTAATACTAATACAAAGAGCCAGGGATGTCAACTGCGATGTATATGCATGTTGCATTTCCAAAAGCAACAATACGATTAGAAAATGATCGGTCCGAGATATTTACAGTCGAAAAAGAAGTTAGACAGCTTTGCATATTGTCACCGGCATTATTTAACATATACTCTGGAAACATCTTTAGAGAGGCCTTGGACGAATCAGAAGATGGGATTGCTCTGAATGGCCGACTTATAAACAATATAAGATATACAGGCGATACAGTGGTGCTGGCAGATAGTGCGCAGAGGCTCTAAAGGATGATTGATAACATTGTATTAGCATGTAACAATACGGCCTGAAACTAAATTGCAAGAAGACAAAAATAACGATAATTATTAAGAACACTTGCATAAACACAGAAGTCACAATTAACGATACACCGTTAGAAAGAGTGGAGAAAATATGCTATTTGGGCTGCAACATTAAGGATACTGGGGATCATACCTACGAAATAAAAGCTCGTATTGACAAAGTCAGAAGCTCTTTCAACAGCCTTAGGAAGATTATCTGCAACTTATCTTTAGTATTCATATACGTATAAGAATTCTTAGATGTTACGTCTTTAGTGTCCTCCTCTATGGATTAGAAAGCTGGAGTATTATAGAAGATGCCATAAAACGATTGGAGGCATTTGAAATGTGGTGCTAGCGACGTATGTGGAGGATCTCATATATACACCACAGAAGTAACATAACTATTCAAATCATGAATGTGTTGCTTGTGTGAGTCCATTTCAAATAGGTAAAGAATAATAAATAAGACTTACTCACAATCAATTTAATTTAACTATCAGACGACCGTTTCGCTTTCTACAATATGCAAAGCATCCTCAGGTCTCGATACAAAGTTAAACAAATGATGCCGGTACTCTATTAATTGATGGATGGTAGAACATGGTTGAAACTACTATGTATTGTTAAATGGAGAACTCAATTCTATATATTGCAGTTGTTTGACAGTAAACGGAAGTTCTTGAGGAGATAGATTTGATCCAATAAAGAAGAGATATGTGTCTGTGTATCAGAACTTCCAGTTTACTGTCAAACAACTGCAATAATAGAATTGAGTTCTCCATTTAACAATACATAGTAGTTTCAACCATGTTCTACCATCCATCAATTAATAGAGTACCGGCATCATTAGTTTAACTTTGTATCGAGACCTGAGGATGCTTTGCATATTGTAGAAAGCGAAACGGTCGACTGATAGTTAAATTAAATTGATTGTGAGTAAGCCTTATTTATTATTTCTTTACCCTAACATAACTATTCTTCAAAGGCTAAGAAAAGACAAAGAAATTATGAACGCCATAAAACACAGAAAATTTGCTTACTTCGGTCACATCATGCATAATGATATATACCTACTTCTACAGTTTATTCTACAGGGCAATATTGAGGGTAAGAGAGCCTCTGGACGTAGACGTATATCCTAGCTGGTCTTCTGAAATTTCGACCAATCAACTTTTTACTTTTACAAAGAGTCTAAAATGGCAGAAAAATAATGTAGAAGTAAGGGGAGAAGATGCAAAAGGAATAAAGCGTATACATAAAGGTCAAAGTCATGAGGAATATAGTTTGGTTTAGTCAAAACGTATTAGATAAATTTCAAATCTACTTAAGACAGAAATATATGACCAATAAATCAGTACTTGCAAAGACGTCAATCACAAATGTTAAGAAAACATATCTACATACAGTCTCTAGATAAGCGTAGACACCATTTCTATCATCATTCAGATTTGTTACAATTTATTTTTCTATCGTGTTTCCAAAAATGTCCTAATTCTATCCTTTGAAGTCTTTCTATTTCTCTGTTTTTCTTGTATTCGTGTGAACCAGAAGTATACCTTTCCATTGTTTTCTGTACATTTGTGATTTTATAAAAGTTGACGTGCAATTTCAATGCGGCATCTTATTTCTTTTGTCTGATCAGTATCTTCTGTGATCCATGCTCCAAGGTATTTGTACGAAGATATTTGTGCAATTTTTTCTAGTACTAGCTTAACTTTGATGTTTGTGCTTTTGTAAATACCATAAACTTGGTTTCTTTAAATTTATTTTTAGTTCATAATCGTTACAATATATATTTAGTTAGCAAAGTGTTGCAGTTCTTCTAGTGTTCCTGCCAGAAGGACGCTGTCGTCAGCATATCTTATGTTATTATCTTATATTATGATTCCAATACAGGTTAGCTATTATTTTTAAGTCTCTTCCGTCAATTCCTGTATCTTCAGCACTTCCATCATTTGTTCATGACTCTATCGAAAGCCTTCTTGTAGTCAATCAGGCATGCAAAAATATTACAGCTGACATCTCTACATTTTATAATGTAGAGCTAAATAAAGCATCCCTCGTACCAACGATGTTCACAAATTCAAACTGATTGGATTTGTGAACAAATTTGTTCCTCGCATTTCTCGTAAATTCTTTTGTGGATGACTTTTATAAACAGCTTCAGCAGATGGCTCATTAGGCTTATGGTCCTATTGTCTTCATAAATTTTGGTCCTGATTTTTTGGGCATTGATACGAACTTTACTCTACTTACCAGATTTACTTCAATTTTGTAAATTGCTAAGCTAAAATGTACAATTTAGGCTTTAGGACAAAATTGCTTCAAATTTCTCCTTCTGGTAAATTTCATGATTTTGGACTTCTGGGCCTTACGTTAAGTGTTACATTTGAAGTCAATTTTGTAATTAATTGCAGACAGAACCTGTCTGAACGTATCACTAACTGAAAGTGATACAGAAACTATGTGACGGCGTCTACTTAAGCGACAGTATGTCGCTTAAGCAGTATAAGTTGCTTAAATACTCAGTGACTATGCATTCTGGAATCTTCCATGACACTGTAAAAATAGAGATAGCCATACCATCAGTTTTAAATTATAATGATAACGAGCGATTTTAAACAGCGTTTTAATTATGTTGCTTGAATACAGTCTCAACATGATTATGTTGTAATTCTTTATTCACGTAACTCTCATTTTCTTATTAAAACATAATATATTTAAAAAATAGAAGTAAATAAGTAATCAGCTTTATTCAAATAGTTTTAAAATAGTATTATATATATATATTAGATAATATATTCTAATATATATATATATATATTATATATATTTATACTATATATATATATATATTATATATATATTATATATTATATATAAAATATAAATATAACAACATTACAGAGAATTTTTAACACAGATATTTAATATTTAGCTGTAAGTGGATTACATTGATAAATCTCATTCCAAATTTTCATCCTGTCAACTTCTGGATTAACATCCATTTTCAGCTGCTTTCCAATATCTAAGAAGTTCAACCGACCATTATGTATTGGCTTCCATTCAATGTTTAGATTGTTTCCTGGTGGTGTTGGATTTCCAAATTTGGCAAAGTTTGTCCACAGTGTTACCATTTGTTTTAAAACAGTTTTATCTTCATCTGCAATATCCGTTGTCAAAGCGCTTTTAAATAAGTATCCCAGTTCATCCCCGTGACACGCTCCTAAAATATTTATTAGTTTACTATTTAAATGGAAATAAGCCGCAATTACAGGTTAAAGCAAGTTTATTGACGTTTTAAGTTCCACTTCGGAAATCGTTCTCAAAATACAAACATTGAAAATTACTAATTTTGTATTTTCAAAGTGGAAATTGAAACATCAATAAACTTACTTTAAGCTTTAATTGTAGCTTCAGAACAATATTTATTACTTTATTAAAATGATATAAATACAAAAAAGAAGAAATGCACGGAAAAATTAACAAAAATATTTATTTTATATAGATTGTTTATAAAATTAAAACCACGTCAACCGCGCAGGGTTATTAGTGGATATAACAAATATACGAAATATTACATTAAATACAATTAAATAACTTGATGTATTTTAAATAGCTTAAGACTGTTGAAGCAAGTGGCGTAAAATAGAAGGCACTAGATTGATTTGGGGGAGGCTTAAGTCCAAAGTTGGATTACTTAAGGCTGAAGAAGAAGAAGAAGACTGTTGAAATTTTTTTGGTGAGAACTGTTTTGAGATCATCATCTGCAAATCCGTAAAATCTTCTTTTTTCCATGAATTGAGGACAATCAAGCAAGATATGTTTGACGGTCAATGGGTTAGCCTTTTCCACCTGTGCCTATACAATTGTGTAGGCTATTTTTGACGTACCCTCGTATACGTACAGCGCAGGTTTAAACGTTCCGAACGAGCAACGCTAGTTGTGTAGGTATCACAGCAGAACGTTGAATCATGTCTGGGCCACGTGCTTTTGGGTTGGCGGGATATTAGTTCTTCACGATGAAAGGCCGAAATTTTCGTCAAAAATGTAAGTACATATGTTTTTTATAGTAAAGAAGCTTGTTTTTTTTTAAAGTAAAACAGTGTGTTTTGCTTAAAAAAAACAAGCTTCTTTACTATATCAAAATAAATATAAATATAAACTTATCAAAGTAAGCCAGTGTGTTACATTTAATATTAGTCTAGAAAAATAAGTGCAGTGTTTTCTAGTTAAATTTTAACATAGTTTTTTTAGAAAATTAACTTTCTATTTCTACTTACACATTTGTGCAGGTTGGGATTAACTTCTTCTTCTTCTTCTTCTACTTTTAGTAGATCTTTCGATCTGTTTAATTCTGAAGCTGCCTCTGGTTAATTTCTTGGGAGGTATATTGCCAACTATCCCTCCATCTTTTAGGTGGTCTTCCGGGGGGTCTTGAACCGGGCGGATTGTTTTTCTAGGGCAATTTTTGGGAGTCTATTCTCATCCATTCATCTTACATGGTTGTACCACATCCTCTTGCGCTGTCTTCCCCATCTTACAATATCTTGAATTTTGCACTGCTCTCTAATGTTTGTATTTCTCACTCTGTCTCTTCTTGTTTTCCCCATTATTGTTCTTAGGGTTTTCATTTCGGCAACCCTTAGCATCTGTTTCGTTTTGTTGGTATCTTCGCGCACTTCTATGCCATATGTCATGATCGGTCGTATGCAAGTCTTATAGATTCTAATTTTACTATCTGTGCTCATATACGGATTTGACCAGACTATCTCCCGCAGACATCCTGACAGTGCAGATGCTTTGTTGATCTGACTCCTCAGGTCCTTTACTGGGTCGTGGGTGCTTAATATCTATGCCCAGATATCTGAATTGCATCACCTGTTCTATGGGGTTGTCGTCAACCACTAACTTACATCTGAGCGGATCTTTTGCTATTGTCATACATTTAGTTTTGTTGGTAGAGATGTTCATATTTAGTAGTCGGCTTGTTTGAAAGAACTGAAAGAGCTGCCTTTGGAGATCATCTTCTGATTCGGCAATAATTGCTGCATCGTCTGCGTAACACACCATACCAATTCTTTTGTTGCCCATTCTATATCCGAGGTTAAGAGATGTTACTTTGTTGATAATTTTGCTCATGAGAAGATTAAACAAGAAGGGGCTTAAACTGTCGCCTTGTCTAATTCCTGCTGGTGTTGGTTTGGAATATTTTCAGTGAATTCGTCTCCTGCTCTAACTTTGGTTACGTTGTTGTTATTTAGGTTATGGAGTATCTTTGTTATACTGGTCGGTGTTTCATTTTCTATTAATATATTTAGAATGTCTGCCAGGCGAACTCTGTCAAATGCCTTCGTCAAATCAATGAAGCAAATATACGCTTTGCATGCCGAACTCTATAGCTTTTTCTTTTATTTGTTTTATTATAAATACTGCGTCTGTTATAGACCGCCCTTTTGTAAAACCTTGTTGTTCTTCAGCATTAGTGATTTGCTTTTCCAATTTGTCCTTGAGAATAACCGTGAAAAGTTTCATTGTTGTATTTAAGAGGGTTATTCCTCTATAGTTTTGTGGGCAGGTTTTTTGTCCTTTTTTAAATATGGGGATTGTGATACTATTATGCCATTCCTCTGGTGTTTCTGTTTTGTTTAATATTTTGTTAAATAGTTGTGCCAGTTTACTTGCAAGTTCCGGGCCTCCATATTTTAAAAGTTCATTGGGTATACCATCCGTTCCCGGTGATTTTCTGTTTTTTAGCTTTTTTATCTTTGCTTCTACTTCTTCGTCATTGATTGTAGCACTCACATCTGTTTCGCCTTCGTTTATATTCAGCGTTTCTTCAGCATCATATAGCTCTTTAAAATGCTGTTGCCATGTCTCTATAGGTACTCCTTTGGTCTGCACGAACTCGTTAACTAGTTTTTTCCTGTTGCGGAGCATTTTCCATACTTTCTTTTGGGCACCATATAGGTCTTATTAACTGGGGATTAACTGTCTTTTTTTATTTTTTATTTTAGATTTCTTGGACAATCAAAAATATGTTGATGAACTTCTTAGAATGACGGATGAAGACTCAGAGGTAGAAGGTTTTAGCGACGATTCGGATGCTGACTAGGGATGTGTAGTTCAGCATCAAAATAGTTCAAATGAACGATTCTTTCAACTGAACTAATTAAACTAGTTCAAGTGTATCTGATGCTTTACCCAGGGATAAGGTTATGCAACTGAGAACCTGCCTTCACTTTGTTGACCCAAATTGTCTCCCTGAGAATCATCAAAATTACAGGCTATGGAATGTGCAACGAATGTCTTCAAATTGAGAGATCAATAAACAACTACAGCCTTGACGAACAGATTGATTCCTTTTACTGGTCGGTGCTCTTTACGTCAATATGTAAAAGGCAAACCAAGATCAGTGGGATTAAAAAATGTTGTACTGGCTTCATCAACAGGTGTGGTTCTCGATTTTAAGATATACCAAGGAAAACAAATTCCTCTTTAAAGTGCGGAATATGGACTTGGACCTTCAGTAGTCTTGAGATTAACAACATCATTGCCAGAAGGATCGTTTTTGCACTTTGACAAGTATTTTACTACACCTCGCTAAATAAATAAGCTTTTTGAACTAAAAATATATAGAACTGGTACCGTAATGAACAATCTATTCAAAGTTAACTTTGTGCCAGATAATCGTCTTCAGAGAGGTCAAAGTGAACAATTTTCATGCATAAAACAAAATATGGTAGCCGTTAAGTGGAGGGAGTCAAAGTCTGTAGTTTTGTTGTCGAATGCAGCAGCTGGAGTTGATCCTCAAAATATAGTAAAAAGATGGTGTAAAAATGGGAAAAAAAAATTAGAAATATCATGTCCTGATATTGTTGAATCTTACAATGAGAATATGAGAGGTGTTGATATCGTAGATCAGTAACTTGAATATTACCGAAGCTGAATAAAAACCAGAAAATGTACCTTGAAAGTAATAATCCACTTTTGGATCTTGTGGTGGTAAATTCTTGGATGCAATATACAGCTAACTGTCAAATGAATAATATTCCAAAACAAAAGGTAAAGGATCTCCTGTCCTTTCGAATGGAACTTGCAGAAACATTACTGGCAACCCCTATAAAACGATGTTTTACTAATAGTAATCAAGAAGAGAAAGAAAGAGAGCCTTTAACAAAAAAACCTTAAAATTATAGGGCTGTAATGCCAGCTGAAGGTAAAAGGTTGGATAGCTTTGAGCATTTTTCAACTGTAGATCAGCTAACTACAGCTAGATTTTGCCGCAGAAGCACTTCAAAAGTAGGACGTGAGTCAGATGTTTAAAATGTAATGTTTATTTGTGCCTTTCAAAGGATCAAAATTGTTTTTTGTATTTTCATACATGGTAGATTTAATATTTTGTATTACCTAAAATAAAACCTATCATACACAATTGTGTGGGTACCTTGTTTTTTAAACACTGCGTACATAGATTTTTTTTAATATTTTTTCTATTATAAATAACCTCCAAGTATTATTTACACTAAATTTTAGAGTTCTGAAGAAAAAATTATGTTCAGGTCTGAAAGGGTTAGAGTAGCTGGAGCAAATAGGTAGTGGTTCGTTTGTTATTAAGTATTTATGTGTTAAGGCAGTATGGCCAATTCTTAGTCGGTTAATAATAACTTGGTTTCTTCTGTTTGAAGGAGTCTCCAGGACAGCATTTATTTTTGGACAAATTGGTCTAGTGGATTTTAACCAGGTTCTTTATCGGTGTACGGATATGTTTTCAATTTTGCAGTATGGTTTGAGCTCATTCGACTTTAGTTTGCCAGTTGATCTGCTTTTTTATTTCCGTAAATACCTGTATGTGAAAGTACCCAAATAAAAACAGCTTCCTTTTCCTAATATTTTCGATCATGTAGTTTCTAGTTCGTTCATTTAATGAGTCTATTACGATAATGCACTTTTTCAGTTTTGTAATATTGACCACTACATCAGCCAATCCATATTTTTATTACATTTTTACAATTTTTATTTCACTTTGTTGGTGATTCTATTTGTGATTCTTTTATTTAAATGCATCTTCCAATCCTTCTTTTTTCTTCTCATCAATTTCACTATGTTGTCGGTCTCGCACATGGCACTTACATCTTTATCTTTTAGTGTAATTTAGTGTTTTTTCATTAATGTTTTTAGTTTTTTAGGGTGTTCTTTTTTTAGTGTTTTAAGTATTCTCTTCTTTGCTGATGTTTCGACTCTTGTTCCTGGTGTAACTGATATTTTACGATTAGTATTCTGAGTATATTGTAGAGAATACAAGGCCAAATAAAAAATTAAAATATGGACATTTTAAATGTTGAAATTTAGGATAAAATCACATTACCTGGACGTTTATCATTTGCCATTTTCTTTAGCATGTTCAGGCCTCCTTCGAATGTAAATCTATAAAAATATACAGGATTCTTTGAGACCTTTGCTTGATTTTTAGCAGAGGTAATTACTCCAGCCGCAAACAAGGCATCCGTAATCAACTAAAATAATAAAATTAATTAAGCGTTATACATAAATACATAAACATAGAAATGATATTTAACTCTCTCTCCCTCTCTCTCTCTCTCCCTCCTCTCTCTCTCTCTCTCTCTCTCTCTCTCTCTCTCCCTCTCTCTCTCCCTCTCTCTCTCTCCCTCTCTCTCTCCCCCCCCCCCTCTCTCTCTCTCTCTACTATTTGGACTGGCACTTGTAACTGCAGCCACAATAACCATCGTGATAAATGAATATAGATTAACAGAAATCTTGAAGGTAATCCATGCTCTACAAATTGTCTTCCAGTGTTAAGCAATTCATAAAGTAATTCTCAAATAATTAAATGTACTGTTGAAGAGACACTACATTAACCCCAACAGAAACAATTACCATTCTGTCAACTCCAGAACAAAGATTCCCAAAACTTAGACACGACTCTCTACAACTTGGATGTTCTTCGCAAAATGATTCTCAAGTTTTTAAATTTACAGCTAAGGGGACACGTTTGCCGCTGACAGAAACAGATTACCAATCTGTTAATTTTGGAAAAAAGATCTCTAGATTTTAAGCAAAACTCTCCACAACCTGGATGTCCGTGAATAAATCGTGAAAAAACAAAACCTTCTTTTATCATGTCTCTTGAGCAAATTATGCCTTTTCCGAAAAAAAATCCGTACGACATCAAGGGTTGTAAGAAAAAGAACGAAAATGGCAATACTTACTGAATCGCACTATAAAAATGAGCTTGTTGCATTAAAAGCTCCCAAAGAGAGCAAATAAAAAAGAAAAGTCACCAAAACTATCGATAGAAGCGATGATAAAATAAATAGAAAAAGAAAGAAAATAATCAGAAAACCAAACAAAATAAAGGAAATTGAAAGGGAAGACACCGATTGTATTTACTGTGGTTACTGATGGTCACAGTCTACGTAGGTTTGAATACGATGTATATAGGGCAAGTGTTGGGCACACTACTCTAAAGGAACTTATGTATTGATACGTGTGTTATGAATGGTTGTACTACTGTTGTCGTTTCTGGACTAGAAACGTGTGTAATTTTAGGCCATTTTGAACACTAACAAATTTCAACCATTAAGTACTTGTTTCGTCTCACTGACATTGAAATTGGACCGAGAGTATCCACTGCAACTCGTTAAAAGGCTCTCTGGAAATATGTGCGATTTCACCATGCCTATTTGTTCTAGGGTCCTTGTTCTCTTTTTCTTCTTCCTACGCTTCTTCTTCACCTCCCTAAACTTCTTCTTTTCCACTTTCATTTTTAAAAACCATGTGGAGGTCCGGACGAATCCATTTCTTTATTAAATTTAGTAGAGCTCGTATTAACCGTTCACAGTTGTTTAATATATCTTGAATCATACATATATCATGAATATTACACTTCTTTAAAGTAACTTTATTCAGACACCGACAATATTACAATACTTTTACACAATGACAAAGTCATATTACCATATTTCATAAACCTACCCATACTGACACGACTATACACAATTCATCATCCTATCCCACACAACATAAACTGGCAGCCTATCATAGTATGTTACATAGATTAAGAGAAATTCCGATGTCAAAACACAACTTTGAGACAGAATTAAATATCATTAAGTAAATAGCAGTAAACAATGGCTACAACAAAGAAACAATTAATAAAATTTTAAATTGAAAACTACACAAGAAAGCTCTGAAATTAGTATTTCCACCATCAGAGAAAAACCCGAGTACCTTCTACTCGATTACATATACAGGCAAAATATCAACAAAAATAGCCAAACACATAAAAAAAGGAATAACACCAGCTTTCAGAACAAATAACAGCTTAGGCAAATATATTAAAAACAACAAGAGCCAAAATAAAAAACACTTACACAGTGGTGTGTACAAACTTAAATGTGGCGACTGCCCAAAAACTTACATCGGTCAAACTGGTAGAAATTTTAATAAACAAATAGCAGAACACACAAGGGCTTTTAATAACATAAAAATAGATTCTACATACACATTTCACCTTTTAGATCATAATTATTTTTTAACGACGAATTTAAAATTCTTCACATTCAAAATAAAGGCCTTAAACTATCTTTGTTAGAATCTTTGGAAATTAACAAATTATAAAACACAGTATAATTCGGAATGACCAACTTGAGACAAACATTTTACCTCTCCTCAACCTATTCATTAAAGACTATATATAAAGTCTAGACGCATGCCAAAAATAGATCACTTGAGAAAGGCAATTAGCCAAAACAGCTATAGTGAGTATAAGAGCTTATAATAAATTTTGAAAACAAAGTTTTCAGTGTTTTATTGTTACATAAAATGAATTTCCATCAAGTAACTGTCGAATCTATCAATTATATAAAATACTTACATTAATTCGTCCCACAGGATCAGTTTCTGGGCGATAAAAATGTCGTAACTTTTCAACTAATCGTTCGACTTGTTGTGTATCAGATAAATTCGTCTCGCATGGTAGCATCTGTTCAATGGCTAGTTCTTCCTCCACTTTTGCCACTTTCATTCCAAGTACCACCAAGAAGTCTAAAAGAAGACCTTCAGCGTCGTTGTAACCAATTATCACGGGTACATCGTTGTAGTTCCCTGAGTGGATTATGTCAATAGGTTTTTCGGTTATAAATGCAGTTGGGTTGGGTTTTTCTATCACTGGGGTTATTAAACCGAAGTCTACCAATAGATTCTTGGACTAAAACGCAAATAAAAAGTAAATGTAACAAAAATTTTAGTCAAATTATTTGCTTCAAATTAAGGAGATTTGGATATCATTCGAAAAATTCAGCTATGCAGGGTGTACTCGAAAATAGTGTGAATCTGTTAGGTATGGATATAATACACAATTTAGAACAAAACGTCCTATAATATACGTTTCCAAAAAAAAAGTTACATTGTTTTCCATTATGTGAATTTTTATTTTCAGAAAATTAAATATTCTGCCAACGTCGTATCCAGTGAAAGTAATTCTGAATAAAAACTTATTTGTGACTTGTGACTTCTGACTTATTAAAGATTGTTGACGTCTTAGAAAATGTACCTATTACCTTCAAAATAATTATTTTTTGCATTAATAATGTGGCATTTGTTATTACCTAAATTATGATAGGAAAAACCAAGGCGAAGGACAGGAAGGAATAGATGCTGCTCCTAGGACAGGCCAAGACCCACTATCGGTTGTAGAATCAATAGTGATGATAATGATATGTATTAAACCTACTCGAGACTACTCTTAATAATATTCTCAAACCTCTAATTAATATGTATTAAGTCATACACACACTTAACCATTACTACATGATAAAACTGTTTATTTATATTAACTTCTTTATTTGTGCCAATTTCTGGTATTTTCGTTTCTAGCGTCGTTTCTTCTTCCTCTGCATAGAGTTTCTTTAGGTAGTCAATCCATGCATCCTTTTCTATGTGGTTTAGTTCTATTATAATAGAATATATACTATTATATATTCTATTATAGTTAATTTAATCCCGTTCTTTGACCTTTTATAAAACATCATATTTCTTTTTATATTTAGTTTAATTAGCCTGTGTGTTTACGTCACATAACATGATACGGTCGGGTAGACACATCCTTAATTATACTTAAAAGAGATACTTATGGCAAAGTACACAGTACAGTTACAAGCCACAGTAAGAATAACTCTCCAGTTTTTATATAGCTTCAAGAGATCGTCTTCATATAGTTTCTAGTATCTTTTAAGTAGGAGTTTGGATTCCTTATTTAGCCCCGCTATGTATTCGATTCGGCAACTTCTAGGAATATATTTTCGTGATATTTGCTTTACGATTTGTACAAATTTATTGCATGAATTAGAGCACGGTTCTAGCTGGGAAACTTCTTGGCTTTAGCGAATTTTTCCCATTTTGCTTTAGTGAAATTGAACCTTCTCTTGAGAAGAACAATTTCGTATCTGATTGCTGCGTTCAAAAAGCAAATTATTGGGTTGTGCTGTGTTTTTGGGAGGGCGCTTCCAACAATTTTTGTCGCCTGGTCTCCAATCCTGTCGGTGACAAATATATAGTCTGGGTTATAACCTCTACACCATCTTCCGCTGTTAAAATATGGGGGCTGTTTTGGATCATGAATAAGTTTGAGGTTTATGTTTTTAGCCCAATTTTGTAGTTCTTCACAATTGAAGTTTGTTTCATAATACCCCCACGTGATAGTGTGATAGTTGAAGTCACCCAGTATGAATTTTATTTGCTGTGATTGAAAGTTATCCGGTTCCTCAAAAACAAAGTCAGCGTTTGGCGGTTTGTAGCTGGACGTTACCATACAAGACTTTAGTTTCACTGTGAGGATCTCGATGTCATCTCGATATGTTAAATATGTGGAAAAGATGTCGATATCTGGTCTGACGAAGACTGCGCTACCATACTGATCATGTGGTCTTTCCAGTACAAGTCTCATACCTCGAATCCTTGCAGTACCTCGATGGGTTTCTTGAACCAGTGGTCATCGACACCGTGTTCTCTGCACAAATTAGACAGTCGATCTTTATTTGCTGATAGTCCTTCAATATTAATTGAAGTAGTCATCAAAACTGTATTTGATTGTACCATTCAATAAATATTTGACTTATGTATGCTTCTATGTTAATTATTACATTTGTCATATATTTTATCTTTTTTCTTTTACTATAAAATAATATTTTTTTTTGTTATTTTCATTCTTTCTGCGATTTTTTTAATTCCGTTTGATCCGCTAACAATTAAATATCGCTATCTGTTAATTAGTTACAACCGGCAGCGTCAAGATTCATTCTACTTATTACGGTACAAATATATATTTACTTTCTTCATTTTTTCTCACTTAATTTACATATTCTTTTAATTTTCATGCAATCACAGATCATCTGGCAATGCCATATAAGTGATTTGTGAGTTAATATCGGTTTGTTTACTTGCCCTACGTAGATAAAACACTTTATCTTTAATTTAATTTACTTACAAAGATATCACATCAACATTCCGTAATTTTATCAATATTTTATAGTAAAACGAAGTCATGATGAATAAAAGTAAACTGCGTAATATCCAGCAAAATAAAATTTGTATACGTGTATGTGTAAATGTGTGAATGTTTGTCATTGGAGAGAAAGATGACATTAGACAGCATAGATTTGCCTAAGTAGGATAACAGACTACTTCTGTTAACTGGTAAATTAATGTTGGGAAGTTGGGACGAATAAGTCGAGATATAGGTTCCGAGTCTGATTCCTATGATAAAGTCATTCGAAATCTACATGATTTAAATCCCATTATATACGGACAGATCATAGGTATATTAGAATTCTATAAAGAGAGGCCATATTGCATTTGATTTATCTTCTTCTGAATGTGTCTATCTTATAGAGATATTGGCAACCACATTGACTCATCTTATTCTATTCACAGCAGCTAGAAATATATCAGTTGACGTTAGACCATAGAAATCAAAACCAAGATAGAATTGCAATAGTCGGCTCTCCAATAAGATTAATAACAAAGGGAATTAAAAACGTATGTAAACAGCTGAAGAGGAACAAAGCACCCGGACCAGGGGATATACCCGGAGAATTGTTTAAGTACGGAACCAACAAATTGTACGAATGTATTCGATAACCATTTCAAGAATGCATAAGCACAAGCGAAATCCCGACGAAATGGAAGATATCATATCTCAATACTATACATATATATATATATTATATATATATATATATATATATATATATATATATATATATTATATATATATATATTATAATATATTAAACTATACATATACATATATGTATATGAGCCGCAATAACCAAAGCAGAGACAGAATCGGTCAGAACATTACCATCGATGACTTTAACTTTGAGCGCGTTAGAGAATTCAAGTATCTTAGAACAACAATAACTGAAGACAATAACGGATCACAAGAAATAAACAACAGGATTCAGGCCGGCAACAGATGTATTTTTGCCCTCCAAAACCTTATAAAATCAAAACAACTAACACGACGTACGAAGATACAGGTCTATAAAACAATCATACGACCCGTTGTGATGTATGGAAGCGAAACGTGGACGATTACAAAGGCAAATGAAGAGAGACTACGTGTTTGGAAAAAAAAATCCTAAGGAAGATCTTTGGTCCGGTGCTTGATGAAGCATCAGGACAATATAGGATAAGAACTAAAAAACTTGAAGTACTTTACCCAGACTCCAACATCATAAAAGAAATAAAGTCCAGAAGACTCCAATGGGCAGGACACCTCAGAAGCCATTCTGACGAACGAACAGTAAGACTGGTGTGGGAGGAAGTCCCAACTGGAAGGAGACCACGCGGACGCCCTCGTCTTCGGTGGCGAGATAATATAGCAGGAGACCTAAGCACTATGGGCGTGGAGAATTGGATGGAGGTTGCTCAAGACAGAAAACAGTGGAGGCATGTTGTCGAGTCGGCTAAAACCCACGAAGGGTTGTAACACCACGGAGTAAGTAATACTATACATAAAAAGGGTGATAAAAATAATTGTGAAAATTACCGAGGAATAGCTGTAACCGGATCTATGAATCGAATATATTATGGAAAGGTTTTAAAGAACCGAATCGAGAAAGAATACTTAGATTATGAAGCAGAAGAACAAGCAAGATTGTTCGTCGACCTACGAAAAGCCTGTGGCAATCAATGGAAAGCACAAATATTAATATAGAATTAATAAAAGCCGTCAAAGTGCTATACAACCAAAATATAACAAAAATAAAAGAAGGGACACAAATAACAACAGGATTTATAACATTAAAAGGATTAAAATAAGGATGTTGTCTGTCCCCCACTTTATTTAAAATAAACCTCGAAAGTGCTTTAAAAAGATGGAAACAAAAATGCAGGACAATGGGGTTACCGCTCACCGTCACTATGGTATATACGCTCAACTTTGCGGATGATCAAAAATAATGGCTCGATATTATGACGATTTATAAACTATATGGCACGAAAATTAATTAAACTATATGTCATGAAATTAAAATAAGAGTATGATATATGGAGTCTAGAAATAAATAAAAAGAAAACCGAATACCTGTGCATTGGAGTATAACAAAAAGATCTTATATTAGACGATAACACCACAATAAAGTATTACTGTGACTACAAATATCTAGGTATCACTATTTCACAAGATGAAGCCATAAGAGAGAAATACGTCAGGAGGAAAGCCATTACAATGTTAATAGGATTTTATGGACCAATCCATCAGCAAAGAAAATAAAAGGAGATATATGAACTATAGTAAAAGTATCACTTTATCAGAAGACCGCAGAAGATCTAGAAGAGAATAGATTACCAACGAACGCATTAGAGAAGTAATGGGAATACAACGAACAATCAAGATCACCTAACAACAAAACAACTTATCTGGTTCGGACACATACAAAGAATGGATGAACAACGAATACCAAAAGAAATATTAAAATGGCAACCAGAAGGAAATAGAAAATGAGATAAACCGAGAAAAAGTTAGAGCGAAGGAATAAATAAAGAACAGAGAGAGGAATATAGAAGAAGACCTATGGAAACAACCGGACTAAGTGGCGATTGGAAGTCGGAAAACGGCGGAAAACGTTATAAACCGACAAGTAAAAATCGTCGTAGTATAATCTACATATTTGGTTCAATACAACAACCACAAATCTCTTCAGAGCAGCAGTTTACAAATAGTCTAGACGGGATCTGTTTTGGATTGGACATTTTCCATAGGAAGCTATTTTTTTGCTGGAATCCCTTCAGGATGTGCCCAATATCGATAATCACGATATGCGCCAGTCGCAAACCCTGTGCTAAATTTTTTATTTAACAAAATATGAAAACAATTGAAAATTTCTCATTTTTTTTGTCTCCTATTTTCGTTTATAATTCGGAAAATATTGATCCTAGAGAAAAAATTATAGGAAGTTAAAAGTTACGTAATTTAATTTTACACAATATTTCGTTAGCTAGAAATTGAAAATTTAATGTTTATTGTTGAAAAAATAGCAATAATTGGAAAAAAAGTACATAAAAAATGAAGTTAATCCTTTAAATGTTTTTGACTTTCTAAACTTGAATTACAAGCTCCATATTCCGCCTAGAAAAACTCTTTAATATGTTTAAAACGTGTGCTAAATTTTGTTAAGATCGGTCGGACAGGTTTTGCATAATAATTGTGCAATCCAGCCTACTGGAAAAAATCGCAAATTTTCAAATTTATAGTAGGCCCTAAATAAGGCCCTCAGATAGTTGCAAATTTTTTTACGTATAAAGGAAGGCTCAAACTTTCAAACGCTTTTTGTAAAATTCAAATCGGTTCACTAGGAGAGCCTAGAAAATTTTTAAACATTTTTTAGACTTATCAATAAATTGAATAACTTTACGAGCTTTAAACATATCATTTTCGAATCAAAATATATTCTCAAATCAAATAATGTCATTATTATGATAAAACTGCAGAAAATTAATTATTTTAAAAAGTTGGATTTTTACAAAAAAAAAAAAATTCGTTCGCCTTTGTTTTAACAATTCAATTTATTTATTAACAATTTATAAAAACATATTTGTTTACTAAAAGTAACAATATATAATAACAGTAATAATTTGAATTGTTAAAACAAAGGCGAACGAAATTTTTTTTTGTAAAAATCAAACTTTTTAAAATAATTAATTCTGCAGTTTTGTCATAATAATGACATTATTTGATTTGAAAATATATTTTGATTCGAAAATGATATGTTTAAAGCTCGTAAAGTGATTCAATTTGTTTATAAGCCTAAAAAATGTTTAAAACTTTAAAAAAATTTCTAGGCTCTCCTAGTAAACTGATTTGAATTTTACAAAAAGCGTTTGGAAGTTTGAGCCCTCCTTTATATGTAAAAAAAATTGCAACTATCTGAGGGTCTTATTTAGGGCCTACTATAAATTTGAAAATTTGCGATTTTTTTCTAGTAGGCTGGATTGCAAAATTATTATGCAAAACCTATCCGACCGATATTAAAAAAAATTAGCACACGTTTTAAACATATTAAAAAGTTTTTCTAGGCGGAATATGAAGCTTGTAAGTTAAGTTTAAAAAGTTGAAAACATTTAACGGATTACTTCATTTTTTTGTACTTTTTTTCCAATTATTGCTATTTTTTTAACAATAAACATTAAATTTTCAATTTCTAGCTAACGACATATTGTGTAAAATTGAATAACAAAACTTTTAACTTGTTATAATTTTTTCTCTAGGATCAATATTTTCCGAATTATAAACGAAAATAGGAGCAAAAAAATGAGAAATTTTCAATAGTTTTCAGATTTTGTTAAATAAAAAATTTAGCACAGGGTTTGTGACTGGCGCATATCGTGATTATCGATATTGGGCCCATCCTGAAGTGATTCTTGCAAAAAAATAGCTTCCTATGGAAAATGTCCATGATGGTCTCCAACATCTGAAACAGATAGGCACTACAATAAAAAGAAGCCACCATTGATTATATTGAAAATTACATTTTTAACTGATGTTTGATATTTCTATTTTCTACCTGAAAATCGTTTTCAATAAAATTTATTTTGAAAAAATAGTGAGGTGTGTTTTTATAACCGAAAATTGTTTAAAGTTATGTTTTTAAAAACTTAATGGGTGACTTGGCCTCGATGTTTAAAGCAAAAATTTCCTACAAGACCTGCATTACCTACATTACCTATCTATCTTTTATTAAAGATAATTCAAAAAGTAAAAACATACTACTTATACTTACCTTAAGATATTGATTTTGTTGATCGTACAGCTCCTGGACAGCCATATCTCTTAAACTGTTTAAAAGTTCTTTTTCATTCAAATTATCTTTTCCAATAAACTTGGCAAAATCAGTTAGTTCAAAGTTTCCTCGAGTCCACGGATTTAAAGTCGATCCGCTCTGAATTATGGCTCTGTGAAACAAACCTTTCGTCGAAGGAGACAACAGCAAATATTCAACAGAAGCTCCTCCTGCACTTTCGCCAAATATGGTAACGTTATTGGGATCTCCATTAAAATTTCTTATATTTCTTTGGACCCACTTTAAAGCCAGTACTTGGTCTTTTAGACCTGCGTTTCCAGGAACGTCCAGTGATTCGTCTTTTAAACTAAGAAAACCCAGAAGACCGACTCGGTAAGTGATGCTGACGAGAACTATGTCTTCAGACATGAGGTATTCTGGACCATACATCATAGTTTCGTGACTTCCCATTATAAAACCTCCTCCGTGAATGTAAACCATCACAGGTTTCAGTTTGGCTTCTTCATGGGGAAGCTAAAACAGAAAAATATCAGATTTGGCCCAATTCAAAACTGTGACAGTAATTAAAATAGTTTAATTGCAGTACAATATGATTTTTGGAAATTGCTAACATTTCCTTACAAATATGACAAAAATTGTTAAACGCGATACTGCAAAGGTCCTTAGATATATGAAGTAACTCAAGGCAGTGTTTGATATGAATAATTGTAAAACAATGGAAGCTTATAGTAGGCTCGTTTTAAACGATTCTTTATACCAATATTGTGTTTAGCACATGCGGTTTTTGTACATGTATTCGGCCAATGTATTTGTAGATTTAGATTGCATAATTGAACCAGAAACAGTTCTCTGCCAGAAATAAAATTGGCGAAATTCTTTGATTTAGACATGAAATTCGTATTATTTATATTGACATGTATATATCGAAACTCTTAATCTGCTTTATTTGAATTGTACTTTGTTTCAAGGTGCAGAGAGATATCACAATTAAAAAAATCATAAATATTAACAAAACACATAATGCCGAAAAAAACCACCAACGAGACCATCCCAGAGATAAAAGGTCCCGTCATTTAGTAAGGCATCTAATTTGCATATTATGAGGCATGTCAGAATTGTATAAGAACTGCCTTTGAAGTTGGTGATTAGTTACTGAAATTTTAACTAAATGACAGATATAGATCTGACAAAGGCATACGATAGTGTACCACTTTCAATGCTTTGGGTAGCAATGGAAAAACAAGGAATAAGCAAAAAATATATACAAGCAGTACAACAACTCTACAAAAATATGACGGCAAACATTAAAACTGGAAATAGATTAACTAGAGAAATTCCTATTAGTAAGGGCCTAAAGCAAGGCTGCTGCATAGCACCTAAAATCTTCAAAATACATCTAAATGAGGCACTCTCACTGTGGAGAAGAAAGTGCTGCAATATGGGGCATCCCAATCGGAGATGATAGATTGTACACGATACATTTCGCTGACGACCAATCAATTCTAGCTGAAGACGAGAGTGATATAAGCTACATGCTTAGAAAACTGGAAGATGAGTACACCAAATGCGGCCTCACAATTAATATACAAAAAACTGAGTACTTAGTTGTAGGAGAAAAACCAGAAAGCCTACAAATCGAAATGGGAACTATAAAACCAACAGACAATTTTAAGTACTTGGGAGTCCAAATAGCATCAAAAGCAGAAAGTAGCGAAGAAATACATTCCAGGATTGGCCAAGCAAGATCAGCCACCAGACAGCTACAAGGACTATTATGGAATAAAAAAATAACAAAAGAAAATAAGAGAAGAATTTATGAAACAATAATAGAAAGTATTGGACTGTATGGCGCCGAACTCTGGGAAATAAACCAAAGAAACAAATCAAAAATTAAGGCCATGAAAATGAACTACTGGAGACGATGTTGCCAGCTCACTAGACTTGCTAGGGTGAGAAACGAAGATATTCGGAGAGAAATGGAAATCGATCTAGACATAATAGACACAATCGAAGCCAAAAGACTTAACTGGTATATTAGACACCGGAAAATAGATGGCCAAAAAAAAATAGATGAATGGACTCCGCCAACTAGAAGAAAACGAGGTAGACCAAGACGATCCTGGAGAGACGATGTCGACGATGCAATGACCGCCAGAGATCTAACAACTGAAGATTGCTTCGACAGAAAACGCTGGAAATTAGGATGCGAGAAGCGGCGCCAGCTGTAGAAGACTCGCTTGTTATTTATATATATATTATATATATATATATATATATATATAATATATATATATATATATATATATATATTATATATATATATATATATATATATAATATATATAATATATATATAATACTATATATATATATATATATATATCTAAAACATATTATTCTGAATAAATGCGATTTTTTAGTTTTCAATAATTTTGAATATATAGCCAACATTTGAAAAATGATCATCAGATTTTTGATGGGAGAAAACAATAATACCTTCGTAATACGTTTTACATGAACAAACAATAATTCTTTTGTACAATAAAAATAGTTTGTTTGTTTATGTAAAACGTATTACGAAGGTATTATTGTTTTGTCCCATCAAATATCTTACTGATCATTTTTCAAATGTTGGCTATATATTCAAAATTATTCCTGACTTAATAATTCTTTTGTACAATAAAAATAGTTTAAGTTCTGAATATTGATAAGTTTAAAAAAATGGATTTTTAAAATAGCAATTAATTGTCAAGCGTATTTTCCAAAAATAAAGAGTGAGGATAATTATATGCTAATGAACGGTCCCAATTACATGTAACTAGAACTTCTACCTGATTTAATTCTTTTCTTAGAAGTCTTTTAGTGATATAATAGAGTTATGCAAACATAAATATTTCTGTCTTTGGGAAAGGCCTAATTTCATGCACCTACCCGATTTAAGACGTTTCTTGGAAATATATATTAGCGATATAATAAAGACTACCGTCAATATTGCTGTCATTTTAAATTATATGTAGATCTAAATTTGTAAATAAAAACTTAAAGATATAAAATTAACTCTATTATACATGCCCTTTAAAAATTCATATTCCTAATGTGAATGTTTCAAAGAAGAACAACAAAATCTAATTTAATTCTCTTCTTCCAAAGAAAACTCGATGTCACTATCGTCACTTCCTAAGTTTATTATAATGGGATTAGTATCTTCTTGATGGTCTATTTGGACTTTGGATGTTAAATAACTGTCTTCTATTTTAATTGCATGATGATATCGTTTTCTCCACTCATCTGGGGTTATTTCGGAAACTCGTTTTTCCAACGGGTATCTCACATCTTCCAATTTGTAAGTTATGTTATTTTGTGTGATTATTTTTATTCGCAGCCAATATTAGCTCTATCGGATTTAAACCCGGGTGGTATGGAGGTAACCGTAAAGGAGTGTGACCATATTCACGCAAAAGTTCATCGAATTCATATCTTTTGAAACGATTTTTATGGTACTTAATCAACGCATACAATTCGGGTTTAAAACTTTGAGGATTAAATGTTATATTGTTTTTAATCAGCCAATCAATCATATCGTTTTTTTTTAATTACTATTAGGCGCAGGATTCCCTTATACCGAATGGTATGAGGCATTATCGCAAACAACTACTGAGTTAAGGGGTTAATTTGGAATTAGTTTTTCCTTTAGTCATTTGCAGTAATTCGTGGCAGTCATTTCTAAGTGGTAGTCACCGGATTTACTACCAAACTTAAATATTAAAAGCGCGTTTGGAATAAATCCCATTTCACCACCAGCATGCACTATTATTAAAAGTTGACCCTTCGAAATGTTCATCAGTAACCCTCTACTAGAATTATCATTCCAAGTTTTCGACAAAGTATGTCCACTGTGTACATATGTCTCATTGAGGTAAACAATGGGTCTGTTTTCGTGTCAGTAATGTTTGATAAGTCGTAAGTATTTGATTCTCCAAGCCCTTATTTCTGTCTTTTCAACCAACAATTTTCTGTTGTCCTGTGCTCTCCTCCAACGGAAATTCATATTTCGAAGAATTCTTCGTAGCGAGGCTTCTGATACTCTAATGTCCAAATCTCTCTCAATTTTGTTCTTCAATGTATTAACAGTAACACGACAATTCTCTGTTCTATGAAAATCGTGTATTATACGCCGAATATCTGTAATTTGATATTCTAATAAATCTGTCACAGGTGACTTTCATAAAGGTCTCTTTGAAGAAAATTCAACTTTGTTTTTATTATCTAGAGACCGTTTGCTCTCTTGTAGTATTCTGGATACGGTCCGTACAGAAATGCCTATAACGACGTAAATATAATCAGCATATAAGTAAAATGCAGATGCAGTAAGAGAAGATCTGGAGAAAATGGGAGTGAGACAATGGGAAATAGTGGCACAGGACCGACACACATGGAAGGCAATAGTAAACGCGGCAAATACTCACGAAGAGTTGTAACGCCATTGATAATGATGACGATGACGTAAATAATAATTCAAAATCATTGGTATGTTGCAGCAATAATTCTTCAAATTTTAAACACACAACATAAAGAAACAAAAGAGTACATTGAGAAGTAACTCAAAGCGGTAGCATAAAATTTAAAAAAATAAATAAATAAGAGCTTTCTACGAAAACAAGAGAGAGTATAAAAGATTGATAAATAAGTAAAATTGAGAACCAAAAGTAAAAAGGGTTTGGAAACATTGTAAAGTGGAACATGAAAGTTGAATATTAAAAATTATTACTAAATGCATTGAAACTCCTTACCGATTGCTTTAGCAGTCTTATTTTTTACCATTAGCAGAGTATCCATTTCACTTTTCACATTTTTAAAATAATTATACACATTAAATATTATTTGACGACCCTGCTCCTTAATATCACTACGTTTTTTCCGTCCATTTTCAGCAAGATTGTTTAAAAATAAAATTATCTAATATTTAACACACACAACTTGATCTCAATTGCACTGCTGCGCTACTGAGTATTAAAATGATTTACTGCTAAGGCCTGGCTTGGATAGAAATTTCAAATTTTGACCTCTGCCCAATGCGATAATATGCAAATTAGATGCCTTCCTAAATGACGGGACCTTTAGCTGGATGTTAGCATCGCAAGCTAAAAGTTAAAAATATATTGGCTAAATCATTTCAAGGGGGATCATTTCTTACTTAAAGAAAAAAGGTCATCTTTGAGCTAATATAAAGACTAAATAAATATTTATGTAAATACCTACTTTCTTTGTAAATACATGAAGAGATAAACAATCTTCTTGTCCAGTATATTCCTTCAAAAAAATGTTCTTCTGGAATCCGGTTTTATCTTCCGTGATCATCTCTTTTATCCCTTCCCATGGCTCAACTGGTAGTGGCGCCTAACAAAACAATATAAAACGTTAAACAATTAAGCTTGGAACAACTTTTTAATATAAAACAATTGTTGGGTATTGGAAAGATGAGAAGAATGGCTTGGAAAACAACATGCATAGAGTAAAGAGGAATGCGCTAGTGTACACGTGCTTCTCTATTCCACTAGAATATATTTCTATATACAATAAACAAGCAAGCAATTTAAGATTAAACCCACGTGAGACATGTTCACCCATAAGAATTACGAACAATTCATTGGAGCGATAAGTATTGACTTGAGTTATAAACAGGAGTAACTCCACCCCGCTTTAATACTCTAGACCAGGGATCATCACTAGGATTTCTTTGAGAGATTAATAGTTTGAATTAAATTTTTCTCAGGGCCGCAAGTACAAGCGGTGGTATGAAATAACTTTAAAACTATATGACTATAACATAAGTTTATTACAAGTTACGTAAAACAATATAATTATAAATTATATGGACTTTTTTGCATATAAAAAGTAGGAAATAGTACATTGTTTACCGGGTAGGAAAAGCTTAACATTCCTAGACGACTGTGAAGATTGCTAAGTCGAGGCGCAAGCCGAGACTTAGCAACACAGAGTCCAGGAATGTGGCTTTTCCTACAAGGTAAACATACTATTTTTCCGCAAATCGTTTAAAATTCGACAGATATTGATTGATTTAAAAAAAACGCGATAATTTTATTCCCAAATAAATGGTGCTTTGAAATTTCTAATAAAATTACCATCGAGCAATAAGACAAAAGAGGGAATGTAAAGGTAGAAGGGGTAAACATATTGATAGACAGGAAGTGCCATCTTGAGAGGCCACTTTAAACAAGGATAGACAGTCTCTATCCTTGTTTAAGAAGTCAAATTTAGTTTGGTTATGTTATTGTTTGTCCCAACTGTCACATGAAATTTTATTTATATTGAAGTTTTTTACCAATTGAGTCAATTTTTTAGACTATTATCGTTAATATTTAATTAAAACTTTTAAAACTGAAAAATATTTTACAGCTATTGTTAACAAGTGTTGGAAAATTTAAATTTAGCGCCTTTGCATTTCCGGATGTGTCCGCCATCAGAGGCCACTTTTTTGGTCTCCTTTTTATAACGATTAGATTCCCTCTTTTGTCTTATTGCTCGATGAAAATTACTTGGGTTACTATGGAAACGGTTGAATTGTCAAATTTGACGCTTATAAATTTAATTGCTGGTGTTCTCGAAAGTAAATGATAAGTGATAATGAAATTTCCATTCCGGGACTCCTCCAGAGCTGGTTGAGGCAGTGAATACTGCTTCATTAGAATTATTGCCAAAGAAATCAAGAGAAAAGTACGAAAATGCATACAGACGTTTTATGGATTATCGCATGAGTAAAAATACGAGTTCTTTCTCAGAAAATGTTGTAATGGCATACTTCCTAGACCTTTGTTTAAAGATGAAATCTTCAACATTATGGGCCAATTATTCAATGCTGAAGTCAACCCTTGCACTTAAACACAATGTAGATATATCTACATACTCAAAACTTCGTTCTTTATTGAAACGACAAGCTCAAGGTTATAGGGCAAACAAATCTAAGATTTTAACGAAGCAAGAAATTGAAAAATTTATCCAGCAAGCTCCAGATAAAGAAAATTTAATGATTAAGGTAATTTACAAGGTTTTAATTTCTATTTAGATTATAGCTTTATTTATTTTTTAGGTGGCTGTAAGATTTGGTATTTCTGGGGCCTGTAGAATGGATGAGTTAGTCCGAATGACTGTACACGATATAGAAGACTTAGAATCTAAGCTTTTAATCAGCATACCTGATTCGAAAACCAACAAACCAAGATCATTTGTAATTAATCAGATCTACTTGAATGTTTATCGAAAGTATGTTTCGTTAAGACCAGAAAATATGAACAGTGACCGATTTTTCTTTTAATATCAAAGCGGAAAGGGTTGTAGACAAGTGGTAGGAATTCATTAATTTAGAAAAATGCCCAAAATAATTGCTACTTATTGGAACTTGGTAAATCCGACAGAATATACTGGTCACTGCTTTCGTCGGTCTTCTGCAACAATATTGGTTGACTCTGGTGCCGACATAACTAGTTTAAAGAGGCATGGCGGATGGAAGTCATCAAACGTTGCTGAAGGATATATCGAAGAATCGCTTAACAATAAGGTTGAGGTGGCAAATAAAATTTTCACAGTACAAAATATTCAACAAAATGACACTTCCACCCTGCATGTTGTCCAAAATGTTTCTCATAGTTCTAAGAGTGTTCCTCCAATGTTCAATAATTGTACTAACTGTCAAATTACTGTAAATATTACAAATTGATCTTAAAAATGTATTCAGCAATGACTTGATGTTTTCAAAATATAAATTAATTCCTTATAAGCAATGTGTTTTCTATCATTTATGTAGAACACTAACAACTGTACGGAAATATCATTTCCTTACAGTAAGGAAATGACATTACCTTACAGTAAGGAAGTCCTGACTTTTTCTTCAAGAAATTTTGACAGGAATGTCAAAATTTCCTGGCGATTTGCGCAAAATGTCTTTTAATTGACTCCAGAAATGTCAAGTCTTGAATTTGTTATTTCTTTTAAGTCGACGGGCGAAATCTTTATATAAAATTTTGTGTTTACTCTCCTGAAAAGTTTGCGATTTATGGCACTAACGATGTCGGAGAGCGATATATAGGAATTTCTTAAATAAAATTTTTAAAAATGAAAGATACAAGCATTTAATAGCTGACGATATATCACAAGTTGTAGAACCTAATTTTAATTTTAAAACTCTTAATTAATTATCTTAAATTTTTCAACTCATGTAATTATCTTGAGGACATTGATGTTGTAAAACAAATCGTAAATAATTATGGTTGATTAAGTTGCAGAAAAGTTTATTTCAGTTTGTAACAGACACACTATTATCCAATATTATCCAATGTACTTTAATTTACATATTGTACTACATGCATATCTTCTTGTTAAATAGTAGTTTACTGCTTATATCACCTCACTTTAATACTCAATTGGTAATTACAGTATATTATTGGTAATTTCGACGTCATAGTAATACAATTGTAGAAGCAGACATTTAAAAATATTTGTTTCGAATAAGTAATGAAATTATTTCGTTATTGCGCTATCTACCTTACACCTTCTTTCTTAGAATTGTTAAATTCTAGAAATCACAATACAGGCCTGCAAAAAATATTTTTTGAAAGTTGTTTAAAATTTTGCAGGAAATCCTTCGAAAACACTAGCTCTTAAAAATGAAGAAACTGCACCAGGTTACAAGAAAAGCAAACAGAGAGTCACGCAACAATGCTTCTGATTCATTAAAATTAAGACCTCTTTTAAAGGAAAATCAAAAATCCAAGAGCATTTAAAAATATGAAGTGAGTGAATTGCTTACCTACAGTCTATAAAAACCAACGCAAGGCATGGATGGACTGTAACATTTTTAAGATCTTGTTTATTAATGACTTTATACCAGTCATTAATGCCTACCTAAAATACAAAAATCTGCTTTCGAAAGCTTTGTTGTTGCTGGACAACGCACGATCCCACCGAGACGCGAATGAATTGATCAGTAGTAACATAAAAGCTGTGTTGCTTCCACCCATTATGATGTCTTTTATCGAACTACTAGACAACGCTTAATTAACGCATTGAAGAAGATCACAATTAAAGATGTTTGCTATTGGATTTCAACTACATGGGACGGCGTAAAAGTGTCTACTATTCAAAAATCATGGAAAAAATTATTTCATATATAAAACAAAATACTGGATCTACAAAAGAAACTGATGACTATGAAGTTGATACTATTGCCAATCTAGCCAATCGGAAACCAAGATGTCATCGATTGGATGAATAGAGATGAAGAAAGGGAACTGACAGACGACTCAATTACCCATCCTAAGTCTAGTCCTAAACATTAATCATAAAGAAGAACATACAAATGAAATAACTCAAAAAATTTCTCCTTTTGATGAGTTAAAGATCCTTAAAGCAACTCTCTTATACATCGGACAGCAAGCGGAATCGACATAAGAACTGTGTTCCTTTCATCCAATGTGAAGTCTTCCATCCAACTCTTAGACAAGGCATTATAGAAGTAATTAATAGAAATTATTAGCGAAGGCTTTTTAAGGTACTTAAGATGACTGTGAAGTTAATACTATTGCCAAGCTAGCCAATCAGGAACCAAGACGTCATCGATGGGAAGAATGGAGATGAAGAAATGGAACTGGCAGATGAATTTGCCGATCTAGTTCTAAATATTAACCATGAAAAAGAAGAAGATACATATAAGATAACTTAAAAGATTTCTTCTTACGATGGATTAAAGACCCTTGAAGAAGCTCTCGCATACATTATAGTGTATTTTTATGTATGAGAGAGTAATAAAACAATAAATTATGTATGCATATCCCTAAACTGTTGATACGGGTGACCCAATGAAAAACAGATATTTGTCAACAAGTTTACAAAGCTATATAGGAAAACAATTTTAAATTGAGTATGACCACCAGGTATAAAGGTTGGAGCAGAATAGAATACAATAGTTGTGAGGGTTACTAATCCCTAAATAAGGTTGCCAGTGTCAGAGTGATGGAGGTTAACAGGTACTAATGAATTTGCAAGAAATGTAAGATGTTTATTTTATTGGTTATATATAACCAATAAAAGTTTAATAAGTACCTACCTATTTGCAAAATAAAGTTTAATTCTTTAGATAAAATAAAACGTTTTATTTTATCTGAAATGAGTGCATTCCACGAAGTAAGGGTTTCAACAATCAAACATTTAATTCTTTAATTCCAGGAATCTACGACAGTAATTGACTAGATAATTACCTTCTAAACTTATTCCACAGAAAATGTGATAGTGGGTTTTTTCCATTTTGTAGGAAGGTCCAAGTGGCGTATTCAAAATTCTTAACAGTTCACTAAAAGTAGGTACTTCAGTTGCAAGGTGCAGTTTATTGTGTATACTAGTGTTATGGAAAATTTGGAAGTGCCGTGTAAACGCCGAAAAATTGGTCCTTTAACAGTTAATGAAAAAACATTAATATTTAATTGTTTTAAATCATTTACAGACAAACGTTTATGTGAAAGTGTTGATGAGACCGTTGAGTTAGTTAGCAGTACACTTGGTGTTGGTAAATCTACGATTTACATAGTTATTAAAGAAGCGAAATGTGGTAGTTTTCAAATGCCACGTAATGCTCCAGGGAAACCAAAATTTCAAATAGAATATCAGTTTTAAAGAAGGACTTCGACGGAAAGTGCATGAATTCTTCTTTAGACAAGAATTTCCAACATTGGATAAAGTTCTTGTCTCAGTTCGAGATGATAAGGATTACCCAGAAATGAGTCGAAGTACGTTATGGAAACTTTTAAAAGAAATAGGCTTCCGCTGAAAAAAGAATCCCAGAAAGTCTATTTTATTAGAAAGAAGCGATATTGTCATATGGCTTTCTAAGAACCATAAAGGAAATGAGAAACCAAAAAAGAAAAATATTTTATCTTGATGAAACATGGATCAACGAGGGTCATACACCAAATAAATTTTGGCAGGATGAAACTGTTACAAGTCAAAGGCACGCTTTTGTAAATAACTTATCTACTGGTTTAAACCCACCATCAGGAAAGGGATGCAGGCTGATAATAGTACACATTGGCAGTTCAGACGGTTTTGTTGAAGGTGGTTTATTAACTTTTGAATCAACTCGTACCGGTGACTACCATGAAGACATGAACGCTGATGTCTTTCAAGAATGGTTCGAACAAATGATAGATCTTCTTCCTAAGAACTGTGTAATAGTAATGGATAATGCAAGTTATCACTCCAGACTTATAGAAGGACTGCCCACAACCAAGTGGTTAAAAAAAGACTTGCAGAATTGGCTGAGTTCAAAAAATATTACGTACCATCCCGGATCTATAAGAAAGGAACTTTATTCGTTGTGTGCCCTTCATAAAGAAAAATTTAAAAAATACGAAATTGATAAAATTGCCAAAAATCGTGGAATGACAGGTATGTCAATACATGACAAGTCATGCCAATGATTGAACTGGTATGGGCACAGATAAAGAGTGAAGTTTCAAGAAAAAATACCACTTTTAAAATTCATGATGTTAAACAGTTGTTTTTGGAGGCCGTAAATAATGTAAAACCTGACAAACTGGGAAAAGGCAGTAAATCACACTATTAAAGAAGAGGAAAAAAATGTGGAAGCTGGACAATATTACTGATAAAATGATCGAGCCAGTTATTATAAATCTTGGTTCTGAAAGTTCATCTTCTGAATCTGATTTGGATTTGTAACAAGTAGCTGTAAGTTTTATATTAATATTTTTATTCATCTATTTAACATACCTTAGACGGTTTTAAAAACTCTTTTTCTCTTTTGTAATTTTTAAAAATTAAAAAAAATGTGAATTTTTTAAAACCCTCTTTAATGTAGGCCAGTCAGTTCTAATATAGTGTGTGATAAAAGAGGTCACTTTTGTTTACATACACATAAAACTTTATAAAACTGAAATAATTCATTTATTTTTTACAATTATTCAAAGTAATTTTTCATTTAATCTTGAGTACGCCCATGGAGTGGTCGGATGTACCAGTTAAAAATTATGCTAATTACTCTCTCGTTCGTAAAAATAAACTATAGCAGGCAGCAAGAGGAATCGACAAGTGGACGTTTGTTTATTTTCAACGTTGGCGGAATATCGCCGCCTCAAAAGAGAGATAAAGCCTTTGTAAAAATCAGTCAAAAAATTTCTTAGACAATGATATTGATAAGGTTAATATTTTAATCTTTTATATATAGTACTGTATTGGATTTGAGTCATTAAAATAACCACAGTTATCTTTTGTTACGTGTTTTTCTTGTTAACCAAGATTTTTCCGTATCCGAACTGACGAACGACAGAAAATCAGCCGGGATGTAAAAAAAACACTCTTTTGACTTTTTGTCTAGCTTTCGGAATCCGAATTCTAAAAGCTAGACAAAAAGTCAAAAGAGTGTTTTTTTACATCCCGGCCAATTTTCTGACTGCAAACCGTATATATATATATATATATATATATATATATATATATATATATATATATATGTATATATATATATATATATATATATATATAAACAAAACATTTTAAAAATGAGTTTAAAAACAATAACAAATGCTATCAAGAATATTTTTATTGATTTGTCGACAATTAAATTGATTATCGACAATGTTATAAGAAAATAATCGAAAAAATTGTTTTAGAGCATCTAGGTCAAGAAGAAGGAAAAATGCAGATAGTTTAAGTTAAAATCTGTAGCCAGAAAATTGCCCAAACCATCATACAAATCTTGTATATATTTAACTTACCTTAAACCGTAGGTCGCCTACTGGAGCTTTTCCGTATGGTATACATAAAAATGAATGAAACTTGTCCCCATTGAGATCTGTCCTGGTGTCTCCAGAAATTTTTCCCTCCGCTATTTGCACCACATGAGCCATGGTTGATCGACTGTAACAATAAATGCAGTTCAAGTAGGTACTCAACACAAATCTCGTTAGTTACGTAACCGAAGTCAAGGTTAATAAAATTACGAAAATGATTCTATTATGGAATTTAAAATTGATATAAATGTTATTTTAATCTTATATTAGAAACCACTTTTTTTAGAAAATTATAAATAATTTGTAAGAATGTAAGAAAAACAGTGATGGGAGAATAAGTAAAACATAAAGATACTGGGTGTTAAAATGAAAATTTAAAATTTTATTTTTCGCTATTACTTTTATGTTAATATATAAAAATTTACTCTTGAGTACAAGAAATTATAATTTGATGCATATTTTGATGTAGCTGATAGAATGCGCCACATATGCCACAAATGGACAATTCGATGTAAATACCAGGATCGAATTGTTTTCTAATGCCCCTTAGTCCAATTCTTCTCAATCTACGTTGGTAAATAAATGGTTGAAGTGTGGAGTAAAATTATAGTTTTATTGAGAGCTATTGATAATATCACTCTAGTTGTTAGTAAGGTCTTCTTCTTCTTACGGTGCCTATCCTTTCCGGATGTTGGCGATCAACATGGCTACAAGGATGTCCTTGACGTAAGAAGCCTCAGGGGCGTAGATGGAGATACAGACCATTACCTAGTAAGAGCAAAAATCAGGTTGAGAATATCATCACAGAAACTTAAAACGAACGAAGCATTGGGACAGTGGAACATTGAGAAAACGCAAAATAGGGAAATCCGAGACAATTACGTACAGGAAATGGAACAACATCTAAATAGAATAGACCAGAGCAATGATGTCGAAAGGCTGTGGCAACAAATGGAAAAATCAATTACAGAGTCAGCAGAACTAATAATAGGTAAAAGAAGGACGAAAACAAGGAAATGGTTTGATAAAGAATGCCAAGAAAAACTACAAGACAGCCAGAAAAAGCGAAACATTTTGCTTCAACAAGAAACAACAGAAAGTAAAGAAAATTATACAACATACACGACGAGAAACATAAAACTAATTAGAGAGAAAAAAAGAAAATACGAACAACAGCAGTGTGAAGAAATGGAAAGAAATAGACAACAGTCAAATAGTCGAGCATTTTACAAATCTGTGTCAAACGAAAAGAGAGGATTCAGACCTAACTGCATGTCTGTACTGAGGAAAAATAATGATGAATTAATAATCAACGAACAAGAATTACTCCAAACATGGCAAGAATATTTCAAAAATTTACTTAATATACACCAAATGAAGAACATGGAGAGGATATATACCTTGGGGTGGACCTACCGGTAGAGTACCCAAAAATAGACGAAACATTGCAAGCAATTAACAAATTGAAGAACGCAAAAGCTCCAGGCTCTGACAATATACCAGCCGAATTTCTTAAGTGCGGAGGAGAAACTTTACATAGACAATTACACAAACTAATAACACTTATATGGAACGAAGAGAAAATACCAACAAAATGGCACGAAAGTGTAATAATTCCTATCCATAAAAAGGGAGACAAAACCAAGTGCTCTAACTATAGAGGCATCTCCCTACTTAATACGGCGTACAAAATCTTATCGAACATCCTATTAAGTAGACTAACACCTTTTGTAGAAAATTTCATAGGGGAATACCAAGCCGGATTCAGAAAAAATAGATCGACCATAGATCAGATTTTTACTCTCAGGCAGCTGCTTGAAAAAGGATGGGAATTCAATAGAACCATTCATAATCTCTTCATAGATTTCCGACAAGCATACGACAGCATTAAAAGGGATCAGATGTGGAATGCAATGGCAGAACTTTCAGTTCCAAAAAAACTTATCCAGCTCGTTAAAGTTTGTGTAAATGGCTGTAGATCTAGAGTGCGGATAGGTAACAAGCTCTCAGAGTCGTTTGAAATAAACAGTGGACTGAAACAAGGAGACGCGCTGTCACCTCTTCTTTTTAATATTAATCCTGGAAAAAGTAGTAAGAACCGCACAAATTAGAACAGAACTACTGACAGTAAATGGACCAAAATTACTACTAGCATACGCGGATGACATTGACATTGTAGGAAATACCGTCACCAATGTAAAAGAAACCTTCAATAAATTAGAGAGAGAGGCAAAAAATACCGGTCTAAGGTCAATGAAGAGAAAACCAAATATATGTGCATTAACAGACAAAAGAGACGAGATAGAATAGGACAAAATGTAACAATAGACCCCTATAACTTTGAAAGAGTGGAGAGTTTTAAATATCTCGGAGCGACTATCACCACAGATAACGATATCACGGAAGAGATAAAAGGGAGAATTCAGGCAGCAAACAGATGTATGTATAGCCTCCACAACACTATTAAATCCAAGAGCCTAACACGAACATCAAAAATCAGGATATATAAAACAGTAATTAGACCGGTGCTCATGTATGGGTGTGAGACGTGGACGCTGACAAAAGCAATGGAAAGTAAACTCAGATGCTTTGAGAGAAAAATCCTCAGAAAGATCTTCGGTCCCTATCACGATCCGAATACTAACCAATACCGAATGAGAACAAATGCCGAGATCAAACAAATGTATAGTGCTAGCGACGTAGTCCAAGAGATTAAATCCCAACGTCTAAGATGGGCTGGCCATGTTCATAGGCTCCCTAATAACCGCCTTACCAAGTTAATCTGGGAAGAAGTCCCGACAGGGAGAAGGCCCTTAGGACGTCCACGAATGCGATGGAGAGATAATATATGGTCAGATTTGAGAACAATGGGGCTACCCACTGACTTAAACATCATGGACGACCGTTCGAGATGGAAGCAGGTTGTGCAGTCAGCCAAGACCCACGACGGGTTGTAGTGCTACCAGAAGAAGAACAAGAACATGGCTATCCTAACTTTGATTGCTGCTATTCTGAATAGTCCGGTTGTGGATGTATTAAACCACTTTCTCAAGTTCTGAAGCCAAGATATTCTTCTTCTCTCTGGTCCTCTCTTTCCATATACCTTGCCCTGAAGAATGAGTTGCAACAAGCCGTATCTCTGTTCATTTGCGCTCTTTGATGGTGTTAATAATCTCGCATTCCTTGCGTATTCTACGTAGGACCTCAACATTAGTCACAACTCTACTCCGTATAATAACGTAGAAAATACATAACATCTAATGAGAGAGATTTTGGTAGCAAGTGGTAAATCGTGTCTTCTGAAAAGAGACTTCATCATTATGAACACTGATCTCGCTTTTCCTATGCGTTGTGGCATTTCACTGGAGTGATCCCATTAGCTGTTAATGTTGTTATCTAGGTATGTGTAGCTGTCCACTCTGTCAATTGGATGTTGGTTAACCAAAAGCTGTGTATTTAATATTTCGCGCTTACTGACTACCATGTACTTTGTTTTCTTCGCGACATTATTCTTTGCAAACCGTCCATACTATCTGCAAAAACTACTGGTTCGTCAGCATATCTAATGTTGTTTAGACGCATTTTGTTGACTAATACGCCTTCTTGCAGTTCTCCTAGCGCTCGAAGATATATTCAGAGTATATATTAAATAAACACCGGAGACAGAATGCATCCTTGCCTCACTCCTCTATCTATGGAGACTGCCTCTGTCAATTGATCATTTACTTTAATATTGGCTGTTTGGTTGTAATCTAAATTATAGATGATTTTCAAGTCCCTAGCATCTAACCCCACTTCTTTCAAGATGTTTGTAAGTTTATCATGCTTTACTCTATCAAATGCCTTTTTGTAATCGATAAAACAAGTATACACATTACAGGACATCATCCCTCCATCTTTGCATAAGCACTTGGACAGCGAATAGAGCTTCTCGGGTGCCTAAGGAAATCGCGAAAATCCAAAACTGCGTCCATGATACTTGTTCTTCGCATTTTTTATATATTCTGCGGTGTGTCACTTTCAAAAACGTTTTAAGTAAGTGGCTCATTAGGCTAATTATTCTGGAGTCTTCGCATGTCTTGGCATTTATTTTTTTTTGGTATGGTCACAAACGTCGACTTTAACCAGCTTTTGGGTATTTCTCCAGTTACGTATATGTTGTTATTCATTTTATTCCCTGTTCATCCATAAGTTTTAGGAATTCTTAGTTAGTTAGGTAACTTTCTATAATAGACTGCGCTCAAATAAGCTTATATCCCCAATTTATAATTTCAAATACAAATAATGTATACCTTAGCACAGAGGTTATTGCTTTGATCATACCAACAAACTTTGAACTATGAGCTTACAATACAATTCAACTTAGGCCGTTATTGCAACATTTAGAAAGTTCAATTAGAAAATATATTATTTAAATGGACTCTAGTTATTAAAATATAATTCGATAGGTTTCAATTATACACGGTTAAACTATAAAAGGTTAAGAAGTTAAGAATAATGTGAGATTGTTACATATATGATACTTCATAGTGTCATGTCAAATTGTACCTATATGTTCTACGATCATAGACGTATATAACATCTGGGCTGGGGGAATATAGGTTATGTTTTACAGAATAAACGTGGTCACAAGTTAATCTTGTATTATTTAAATTTAATATCAAGCCAACCTGAAACATGGTGTCAGGTGTAAATTAATAAGAATATACATTGGAAAAGTATCGTGAAGTATTGATGCGTTAATAGTTTCCTAGTACAGTCTTAAAAATGGAGTTAAGTGTATCTAAGCCGCCATCTAATCTAATATTTGATCAGAACCTACATAAAAACTATGAAAAGTTTAAACAGTATTTTGATATTTATCTAAAAGCAGTCGATTTAATTGGTAAATCAGATGAATGAATAATTACTTTGTCTTTAAGTTATGCTGGAGAAGAGGCCATAGAAGTGTTTAACACATTAAATCTCACAGAAGAACACCAAGGAAAATACAAAGAAGTAATAACAGTTTGTGATAATTATTGTAAATCACATAACGATGAAACCTTTGATCGGAGAAAGTATGGATCATTTTATAAAAGACTTAAAAATATTGGCTAAACCATGTAATTTTGAAA